GAAACTGGCTTCCATAGTTCCATTTCAACTGACGGACAACAAAACAGATGAAAACAAATTCCATAGACACACACTAAAGGAAAGAACCGAGCAATACAGTATCTAGACCAGAAGGATCACAAATACATGAGGATGCACGAGCTTAGCAACCACCGAAAACTCCCTAGCAACCACCTATAGCACCCAGGTAGAACATAATGCAATATTATTGGTTCTTTTCCAAGGAATCACAAATGATTATCAATTTATACCTAGAATGCAAATCATTTTGGATTAAAATGTCTGCTAAATGTGTAAATAAATAAAGATCATTTCAGCAACCACCCACAACATCATGCATGTGAGTTTTACACATGCAAAACCAGAATATTTAGGAATCTACTTAATATTATTGAAACTTCTACAATTTGAACCACCCAGAGCATGATATATCTGTTTGCATTTGTCTAAAGCCTCAGATGCGCAACTCAATCCACTGTGTGAGTGTGTGTTTCTCCAGCTGCGAGCATGTGGCTTTGATTATTGGCCGCTCTGCCCAGGGGGAGTGACTGATTGAAACGCCAGACTCCGGCCTGGCAGAGCACTGTTTATTATATAGTCTGGCAATTATTTCACTCATGATTGCTAATTTCAGGAAATTAGATTTGTGTGAGGGAGAGACAAAAAAAAAAAGAGTAACATGTGCATCCAAACGTATAATGCATATGCCATAGAAGGATGATGAGGATGGCTTCACAAAGGTACTATAGCCTACTTATTGCGCGCAGCTCATCCAAATCAGATTTCAGTACTATAAATTTTATAGTACTTTTTCAGTAGCATTGCTTTCTGAAGGTTTTTTTTTTCCGTTATATTGATGGCATTTGTTTTTTTTTTGGAACCATGAGTCAAATCAACCTATGGAAGCCCGTTTCCATCACTCAGTAAAAAATAAAACAAGGTAATTGCGACAATTCTGACTTCCCAATAACGATAACTATAAAGATAACGATATTAGCGTCCACACCAATGGACGATATCGTCTGTTTATTCTATGCGCACGCTCGTCTGCCGCTTTAAATTCTCGAGCTTGTTACAGCAGGATGGATTCTGATTGGCTGTCAATGTTTGTATCGTTCATCGGCTGGAAAAAATCGTTCTGAAAGTGATTCCAACGATATCGTTTCTCTGGGCCTTTATCGTTATAGCTGTGGTGTGGACTCTGCTATTCTTTAATAGGCCCGTTCACACCAAGCATGATAACTATAAAGATAACAATAACGATATAGTTCTAAAAATAGTTCTCAATATTATCACACTAAACTCAGACATAAACTCGCTGTTGCGACTATTTGCGAAAACATTTTTTTATATTTGTACAATTGTAAGTTTATCTCTCACAATTCCTACTTTATAACACGCAACTGTGTTAAATTCCAAATTGTGACATATACATTTGCAATTTTGAGAAAATAAAAACACAATTGTGAGTTTATATCTCGCAATTATGACTTTTTTCCTCAGAATTATTATCATAATTGAGCATATTCAGCGTAATTTATGAGGCAGCTACTTTGTTTTGCATCATTTCCCTTCAGAATTATTGGTAGTGTAGATATTCACCAGGAATTATACAATTATACAACAGAAAATATAAAACTAGATGAGTAAAGTTTGTAGACAAACTTTAAGTTGGCTCGAAGAAGCCTAGGCAGAAAGTTTGAAGTAGTTTTAAAAGCTTGCAGACTGAAAGTTTTCCGTTTGAAGTAGTTTGAAAGTTAAAATAGTTTAAAAGTGTAAAGTTTGAATGTTTTCAAGGCAATAAAGTCTATCAGAAAAATAGATATAAAACATATGGCTAGGGTGGTTACTAGGCTGTTTCTAGCATGACTATCATGTTGCTAACATGTTTTTAGCATGATTAACATGTTACTAGCATGTTGCTAGCATGATTAGCATGTTACTAGCATGTTTCTATCATGGTTAACATGTTGTTAGCATGATTAGCAAGTTACTAGCATGTTTCTAGCATGATTAGCGTGTTACTAGCATGTTGTTAGCATAATTAGCGAGTTACTAACATGTTTGCTAGCATGATTCTAGCATGATTAGCATTTGTTACTAGCATGGTGTTAACATTTTGTTAGCATGATTACCAAGTTAGTAGCATGATTCTAGCATGATTAACATGTAACTAGCATGATTTTAACATGATTAGCATGTTACTAGCATAATGCTAGCATGTTTCTAACATGTTTAACAAGTTACTAGCATGTTGTTAACATGATTCTAGCATGATTAACAAGTTACTAGCATGTTGTTAACATGATTAGCGAGTTAATAGCATGTTGCTAACATGTTGTTAGCATTATTAGCATGTTACTAGCATGGTGTTATAATGAGTAGCAAAGTTACTAACATTTTTCTAGCATGATTAGCATGTTACTAGCATGTTTTAGCATTATTAGCAAGTTACTATCATGTTGTTAACATGATTCTAGCATGATTAGCATGTTGTTAACATGATTCTAGCAAGATTAGCATGTTCATAGCATGTTGCTAGCCTGATTCTAGCATGATTAGGAAGTTACTAGCATGATTAGCATGTTAACAGCATGTTGCTAGTGTAACGGAGGCCAGCGAGTAGGTGCTGTGCAGGTAAACCTCACTCCCCTGATCTCAAGAGACGCACTAGCGACTGATGCTAGAGGCTGCAGTCTTTAGCCTCCTTGTTAGTGCGTCCGCCTCCCATGCCGGAGACCCGTGTTCGAGACCCACTCGGAGCGTGTGGAGGTGTGGCGGTGAGGACCCGGGAGAGAGGGATTATACTATCATGATTCTAGCATGATTAGCAAGTCACTAGCATGTTGATAGCATGATTAGCATGTTTCTAGCATGATTAGTAAGCTACTAGCATGTTGCAAGCATGATTAGCGTTTTACTAGCATGTTTCTAGCATGATTAGCTAGTTACTAGCATGTTTGCTAGCTTGTTTCTATCATGATTAGCATGTTACTTGCATGTTGTTAGCATGATTAGCAAGTTACTAGTATGCTGTTTGCATGTTTCTATGCTAATACAGTTAAAACCAGCTAAAACCAGTTGATTCAGTTAAAAAAACAGCTAAAAACCAGCTTAAAACCAGCTACACCCAGTTGATTCAGTAAAAACCCAGCTAAAACCAGCTTAGGCTGGTTGCCTAGTCTTAGCTGGTTTAAGTTGAAAATATCTAGGTTAAGCTTGGTTGGTCTTTTAGCAGATCTCACAGCTTGACCAGCTAAGACCAGCCTGACCAGCTAAAAAGTTGCCAAAACCACTTTAAAACCAGCCTGGGAGACCTGCCAAAGCAGCCAATCAGCTTGTTTGAGCTGTTTTCTTTTCAGTAGGAAGTTTTTAAGGGTTGCTATGGCAGTAGACAGCTTAAAAACAATATAAGTCTCATTGTATAAAAGTCAATGAAAGTCTATGAGATTTTAGGTGGGTTTGATAGTCCGGTTTACGAAAACCATAAGTCGGATCAGTTAGAAAAGATATAGCACACCGTGTCAGACCAGTCTGAAGGTCTGACCAGAGTTTGGTGGTTGTAGCTTGAAAGCTCTATGAGGAGATAGCGTTTAAATTTTGGCTCAGAAGAATAATAATACGTTTAAATAGTAGATCAGTAAGTTGGCTTTCTCAAGCCAACTTAATTAATTACTCTCTGGGAAAAATAAATGGGATTTTTACTTCCGGAGCCCAAGTTGAAATAGTCTTCATGCCTCATAAACGGTTTCTCAACGTCTAAAATGCTTCTCCCCGCGTCTGTGAATCTTTGTTGGGCCATTTGGTGAGATGAAACCAGAGGTTTACCGCGGAGGCGTCTGGAAAGAGCAAATCAACTCAATCAGTCAGAGTTTTTTTCAGCCTGATCTATTGCTCAACGGCCTCTATGAGAGAATGAATGGTCCAAAACATTGGCAGCGTGGATGAATTTCATTCTTGAGATTTCAGAGAGTATGATTTCTAACCAAGAGTTTGTAGAAATATTTCATATGTCTGCAGATTGTATGATATTGATCCTCTCCAGATGTACGGTGAGGGAAAGCGAACCCTCAACAATCATAATTCAAACCCTCTTAAGATGTTATGACAGAAATGTAATTAAACTTAAATCACTCTCATTAATCACACCAACCTTCATCCAAAAAAAAAAAGTGTAGTGTGACATATCTGAAAACCTAATCAACTATCTGTAACATGCAAATCATATTAACAGATATTAAATCATGAATTATTAAAAAGAGCACTTGTTTTGGACAGCTTTTATATATCAGAATTGCATATAAAAGCCATATATATATAATTATTTTTGTCTTTAAACTTTGTACAATGTTTACATGCAGCAGATATGTGTTATAGTGTAATGTAAAATATTACATAATATTGGTACATTACAAAAAAATACCATATTAAATATATAAATATATTTATACCATCCACGGCACTAAATATACATAATAAATTAACCAAGAGTCTCTTTTAAACAACAGGAAGCTTCACAATATCAATGTATCCTGTAAATAAAAGGATTTTTTGCTTAAAGGGGTCATATGATGCTGCTAAAAAGAACATTATTTGGTGTATTTGGTGTAATGAAATGTGTTTATGCGGTTTAAGTAGATATGTGTTATAGTGTAATGTAAAATATTACATAATATTGGTACATTACAAAAAAATACCATATTAAATATATTTATACCATCCACGGCACTAAATATACATAATAAATTAACCAAGAGTCTCTTTTAAACAACAGGAAGCTTCACAATATCAATGTATCCTGTAAATAAAAGGATTTTTTGCTTAAAGGGGTCATATGATGCTGCTAAAAAGAACATTATTTGGTGTATTTGGTGTAATGAAATGTGTTTATGCGGTTTAAGTCACAGACATGAATCCTAAAAACGAATAATGTCCGAGCAAATCATGACTTTTCACTTTACACCTACCTCTGACTAGGCGTAAGATTTAGAGTCAGACGCAGCACTACGCCGAGATGGTGCAACGAGTATAAATTCTACGCACGACTTAAAGCACCATTTACGTCCAGCCTAGTCTTACAAGCGGGTGTACGTCCAGCTGGTGCAACCGGCCCCACAATCAGCCTCAACGCGACTCTCTCTCTCTCTGTGTCTCCTCTCAAAGACTTTAAAAGTCTCTCTCGTCGCGCTTGGATAAATGGATCTCTCTGTGCTCGTGCTGTTGTGTTTGTGCGGGTTTCTGCGGGGCCAAGGTGAGTTTACCTCAAACATCACTGCTGCTATTACAATACACTCATGCAGAGTTTGCAGAAAAGCGGACTGTGAATGAAACACGGAGTTTTTATGACATAATAACATGTAAATCTGACATTACCCTCGCCTCATGTCCGTCTGTCTCCATGTGCTTTTCATGTATTTCCTCAGACTGTTGTCGTATACAAGCGTTTAAAGGTGTCTTGAAAGCAAAATAAGATAAAAACAGAATAGTGTAGTGATTAGTATATATTATAAGCTATATTATTACATTAAAATATAATTTATTATATACTATATTGTATATAGTATATAATCTATTACTATTTACTATAATGTATTAAAAATTTAATAATAATACATATATAATATACATATACACACAAAGATGTATTGATGTCAAAACTAATTTAAATACATATGATATACATTTAAATATAAATACATATCAAATATGTACATATATTTAAATGCATTTATATATTTATAGTGTAATATAAAATATTACAGAAAGTCACTTGGTACATTACAAAAAATATCAGGCATTGAATAAGTATTACATGGTATAAATGTATGATTCAGTGAAATATAATATATTTATTACAAATAAAGTATTTTGCTAAACTTACAATGGAGGGTATGGTATGGTAAAATGTAGTATAGTATACCATAGTATACATAGTATAGTATAGTTAGTATATAATTAGTTAGTATAGTATAGTATAGTATATGCATATACATAGTATAGTTGTATATACTAGTTAGTTAGTATAGTATAGTATATGCATATACATAGTATAGTTGTATATGCATAGTATAGTTAGTATATAGTTAGTATAGTATAGTATATGCATATACATAGTATAGTTGTATATACATAGTATAGTATAGTTAGTATATAGTTAGTATAGTATAGTATATGCATATACATAGTATAGTTGTATATGCATAGTATAGTATAGTTAGTATATAGTTAGTTAGTATAGTATAGTATATGCATATACATAGTATAGTATAGCTAGTTAGTATAGTATATGTGTTGTATATACTTGTATATAGTTGGTTGTATTAGTAGTGTAGTGATTAGTATATATTATAAGCTATATTATTACATTAAAATATAATTTATTATATACTATATTGTATATAGTATATAATCTATTACTATTTACTATAATGTATTAAAAATTTAATAATAATACATATATAATATACATATACACACAAAGATGTATTGATGTCAAAACTAATTTAAATACATATGATATACATTTAAATATAAATACATATCAAATATGTACATATATTTAAATGCATTTATATATTTACACACACATTTATATATTTAAATATTTATTTAAATAAACAAATAATTGTGTGTATTTTTTACGTCACGTCTTTGTATACTAAAACTTTAAATGAGTCTCTTGCTGATCTCTTAATGAAAGGCTTGTTCTCACAAAACTATCATTTACCCCTGCGGAGGAGTTTTACTCGGAGTCACAGATACTGTGTGGTAGAAGAGGTGGTGTGAATATTTAGATAAGGAGGCGTGGCCTGGTTTGCAGTAGCCAATGAGGGTTTGCTATGCGGGATGCAGTCCACAGCACAGCACACAAGATGCTCTTTGCTGCCAGATAGTGAAGTTGCATTCACCAGCCGGGGTTGACTAGTTATCCTAACTATACCAGGACTAGTATAGTGTCTGTATCTGAACATTTACTCAGTTCTCAAGAGATTCATTCCTCACACGTTCTTGCATTCAAACGTCACCGCACAAATGTGGTTTGTGGGCGGAGGTCATAATTCAGAACAACAAACTGTGTTTAAATAGTGGCAACAGAACTGGACCAGTTTTCTTGAACAGCATCATGTGGGTGGTGTTTTCATAGATGGGAAGGTCGAGCTGGCCTCGTGCATTAATGCTGTTCTTAATTCACTTTTAAGAGCATTTTATCTCAGTTTTATTGGGCTTTAAAAAGTTTCTATTACAGAAACAACTATTTTCATTATCTACTGTACAGCACAGCTATAATAAACCACCTGCAAATTATTCTGGATAACTGTTTTATTTTATTTGATATACATTTTGTAATCTAAAATTATTTGTAACTTTTAATTAAATTATTTATTTTCTTTAAAAAATTTATTTAATTTTTTATTTAGTCAATTTTATTATTTTTACATTTTATTTAATTTTATTTTTAATTTAACTTTATAGATATACATTTTGTAATCTAAAATTATTTGTAACTTTTAATTAAATTCATTTTTTTATTTTCTTAAAAAAATGTATTTAATTTTTTATTTAGTCAATTTTATTATTTTTACATTTTATTTAATTTAATTTTTAATTTAACTTTATATATATATATAAAATATATTTAATTTTGTATTTAACTTTATTTTATTTAACTCTGGTTCATTGTCCTCGAATAAATAAAAATGTTTGTATTCATGTGGAGAAATTGCTGCTTATAAAAGCCATTTGGCATTTCGATTACTGTGCAAACCTGCAGGAGAAGAGTCCAAAAGACTCATCTGCCAAAAATATTTTGCGTTTTGGCAGATGATGGAAACCGCAGGGAAATTAATGATCTGTTTGATCCAACTGAGTCCACTTGCGTCAGCTGATGGTTGTTTGGAAATGTTTTTGGAGTAGTTTTTATGGCCTTTAATCTTTGGGAGAGAGTCAGACGTGTTTGACGGAGTTGACTAGCTGCCCATCAACAAATTACTTCATCGGCCAGACGCTAATCATTATTCAGCATGAGTGGAAAAATGCTTGTGGAGAGAAAACAAACAAGGCAGATACAGTCCAGACAGGACAGATATTGATTTTGCAAACGATATCAAGGAAATTAAATAGAACAATGGCTACTTCAGAACGATGATTAAAAACAAATAACTCAATAAATTAACACACAGACCCTCATCAGACTAAGCTCTAAGTCCGGTCTGGAAGAGACAATCAGGGCGTAGATCAGAAAAGTGGGCGGGGCACATCATAACGCTTATCTGCTCAGGTCATGAATATTAATTATGTGATGCCCAGTAGTTCTACCTGATTGGCTGAAAGACAGACTTTGGTAGGTGGGAGAATAGAATAGAATGCAATTGAACAGAAATGTGTGCAAATAACGTATATCATCGTATATCCTCCTTAATTATGTACAAAATCCTTTGAAAGGGAAAAAAACCCCAAAAGGCCACAGGCAGGATTTGCTTTCCCACCGAGCGTCCAGGAAGAGTCTTTATTTTTAGCAGCAGGGTTTGGGCTAGTAACATTTTTAAGGGGGTTTTCCATGTGCCGTCCATCCCTAATTAGACAAAGGTCATGCCACCATCTGATCCAAACAGTTCAGACCTAATTAACGCCCATTTCCTTACAAAGAAACTCTTAAACTTTGAACATCTCACATGGCTCAGATTTGCCAGGATACCAAATTCTCCAATCAGAAGTCAGAGATCTCAATATGAACATTTCTCATTTAATTCTTCCAAGATCAAATAATTTGAGCTTGTATTCACATTAATTTATATAATTAATTCATTATATTAATTTTTGATATATCCTCCTGAGACCCAGCTATGGAGTTTTTGCCTCTGTAATAATTATTACAATATTTTACAATGTTTTATTGGAAAAAATATATTATTATGATTATAATTATCTTAAACTAAGATCAAATAATCTGACTTGGTATACACACACACATACACACACACACACACACACACACACACTTATTTTATCATTTTTTTCTTATGCTCTAAACAACGTAGTGACATGAAAAAAATACTAAATTCACAAAGTTTTTTATTTCTGGTTCTCATGAGGATATCATAATTATTACAATATTTTACAATGTTTTATTGGAAAAAATAAGCTAAGATCAAATTATCTGACTTGGTATACACACACACACACACACACACACACACACACACACACACACATATATATATATATATAGGGAGGCTGGGAGGGAACACGAGAGTCACAGGGAGCTCAAGAAACACAGGAGGGCTGGACGGAACCAGCGGAGATTCATGAGAAACAGAACCACTGGGAATCACCTCCTCAACCCAGTCAATCAAATCAATATCAAAGATGTCCATTAGTTCCTCAATATATAGTCCAGTGGTCAATTGCATCTCACCCTCAGCGGCAGTAGTGTGGGTGGGGCTTCCCTCCAAGCCCTCGATCGCCACCAAAACTCCCTCAGGAACGGACGGTGCTGCCAGCTCACGCACTTGGTCAGAATATTCTTGAGGCTTAGGCTGCGGGGTGATGATAGGCTCAGTCGCGGGTATGCTCGCTGGCTCACGTGTCACGGCAGGCTCAGGCTCTCCATCTGCAGTGGGCTCTGGCAATAGTGCTGTGCAGCGGGATGATGGCTGTCTGGTCTCTGGTTCGTGAGCGGGGCTGGAGATGTCCTTCTCGGCAGGGCAGATGGAGAAATACAGTCCATTTCTCTCTAGCACCCACTCCACAAAAGCGGCGAAATCCTCCTCGGGACCGTTCACTGGCAGGCATGCCTTACACTGCTCGCTCATGCTGGTGTAATAGAATACGCAGAGCGAGTGGTCAGGGAAGTGCGTAAGGCATGCCAGAACTAAAAAGTCCCTGGTATGGTCCTCCAGCGAACGTTCCTGTTGCTCCAGGCATAGGAGTTGAACAGCTGGGATATCCATTCTGGGAGGAGGAGAAAAAAACACAAACCCAAACAGAAAGAAAAATGGCGCTATAAATTACTCACTTTGAGGGTCTGCTATTCTGTAACGGTATTGTGCTAGTAAAAGTGCACGAAGCAGAAATAATAAAAAAAACTGAAACAGAAGGAATCCAGGAGCAAGGGGTAGCACAACACATAGACACAAACAATAGCAGACCAAGGACCAGGGGAGAACACAGGACTTAAGTACTTGAAATGTAATTAGGGAGAACTGAAACAGGTGTGGAGCTAATTAATCAAAAACCATGGAAACAAACAAGGGAACACAGGCAAACTGCAACACAGAGAAACCAAACCAAATACAACAGAAACATGACATAAGTTCAGTTTTGGACCCTGTTCTCTTATTGTTCCTCCTCGCACGCCATTTGCTGTCCATAGTGACGAATCAAGCGCTCACTGCCTAACCACAAACCTTAGACTGTGCCAGAAATCAGCTGGTAAGCGACAGATGCTGAAGAGTGGCTGGTAAAAATGCAGATTTGTGATAATGCAGGAATTCATCAGACAGGACAAGCCCCAGCAAATCTAATGCTGCATGTGGGGCTTTAACAGAGAAATCAGTCAGCAAACCGGCAACCTGAAATGCTTCAGATTTGGTCGTAAAATGTGACCGTACCAGACTAGTTGGCTCGGCTCTGGATCTCCTTTACAGGCCGAGTTTGAGCTTTAACTTAATGCCCGTGCAAACCTCTAATCTGCATGTCTGTGTGTGGGAATCGTCTGGTTTGGATTTGTTGTGCGTAATGTCTTTACTGTTTTTTTCCTTTCCAGAGACCACAGATCCCATCTCGCTGGACAACTGCTGTAAGGATGGCAAAGAAAGAGGCCAGGAGTCTCAGGACTGCACGAGTCTGCCACTCATCTCCGACTCCACCACCTGCAGGTAGGGGTGTGCGATATATATCGTCTGCAATAATATCGTAATTGTTGTTTTAACAATGTGCAATTTGGCATTATCGAGTATTTTACAAAAACCTTTCAAAACACCCCTACAGAGTGCAGAAATCTGCACGCATACAGTACATTACATGATGAAGTCTGGTCTAGTGCGCATTTAGAATGTGTTCTTTCACTGCATGATTTAGTCTATTAAAACACATTTAAAATGAACACAAAATCTAGACGTGGGGCAGAAAATGTATATATTTATACCATTTCATATAGTTAATAAATTTCACACTTAGAGTGCCGTTTTTGATTACAAACGTGATATTGACTTTTTACAACAGTTCAATAAACAAGAAGTTAATTAACAGACTTACGTTTTAAACACCATATTTCCTTTTTTTGTGCTATTTCGACAACAAAAATAATTCCAAACACAGCCATAGCACTGTTTTGACCAACATGACGGTGTTTCGTTCCTGAATGAATCAACCGTTTAAATTATTCGGTTCAATCGCAATGACTCACTTATTAACAGTGACTTGCTGCCACCTACTGGCGGTTTTAATTTCACATTTAAAGTATATTTTATTATTTAAATAATTTCAAATATCAGTATTCAACCTTTTATGTTTAATATATCAAAACATTATTTATGAATTTGTAGATGCATGTTAAATGTATTCATATCCTGCATTAAACAGTGTGTAAATCTAAATGCCACTTCAGATGCAGCTTCTGTGTTGATTTCATTTGCTTGGTAACAGCCTAAATGTCTTATTATTCCAATTCACTGATGAAATGTAAGAATTTGACTCAAAAGTTAATGGACACTTTTAGAAAACTGGCTTTATTAAGGTAAAAATGCCCATAAAATGTACAAATCAGTTAAAACTTATTGGAAAAGATTTGTTTCTATCAGTGTGAACTGACCACCACACAGAATATGAAGAATATCAAAAACTTTAAGAGCCGGCAGTCCATGGTAGTCCTTAAGATATCAGCACAATAATACACTCAGCAAAATATTGTCTAATTATCGTTATCGAATAATCCTAGAAAATATTGAGACACTATTTTTTGTCAATATCGCACACCCCTACCTTCAGGTTTGTTCCTGGCCATCTGAGATCTACCAAAGTTCCACAGAAAACACTTAAAAGAGAAACAAATCAGTTTGTTATTTTGTTAGTTCAGCTGCAGGTGAATGGGGTAAAAAAAACTGAAATAACACTTTCCCTAGTTGATTAACCACAGTACATTAAGACATTATATGTCATATTGCAAGTTTTATTAAATGTTATGTTTAAATATGCAAATTAGGCTTTTTATCTAATTACATATGCACCTATTTGCATACATTTCCAGAGCATATCTGAACGTTGGATTTGTTGACGTTAGGTTTTTTACAGATTTTGGGATTTTGGATTTCTCTTATCACTTCATAAATCAGAAAACACTGCCAACAGACAGAAAAAAACATTTTCACCAGGTTTTTAGGAATAAAAAAAATTAAATGGAGAAACAAACTCATTTTGAGATGTCCGGCTTTAAAAATATGCACTGTAATTGAAATATACAGATGCAAATAAATACAGTGTAATAAAATAAACACTATTGTAGATGTTTTCTTTCCATTAGTCAACAAGTTATGGGAGCAAAATTTCAAAACTGAATTGATTTGAATTGAAAAAGCAATGGTTTTGCCTACAGTGTCTCTCCTTAAAGGAATAGTTCACCCCAAAATGGAAATTTCCTGAACATTTACTCACCCTCAGGTCATCCAAGATTTTGATTTTTCATCAGATTTGGAGAAATGTAACATTTCATCACTTGCTCACCAATGGATGTGAATGGGTGCCGTCAGAATGAGAGTCCAAACAGATGATAAAAACATTACAATAATCCACAAGTAATCCATACCACTCCAGTCCAGCAATTAATGTCTTGTGAGGTGAAAAGCTGCGTGTTTGTAAGAAATAAAATTGAGCATTAAAATTTTTTTAACTTCAAATCGTTGCTTCTGGCCAAAATATGAGTCCATAATCCATAATAACACTTCCTCCAGTGAAAAAGCCATCTCATCTGAATCAGGAGAGAAATCTGCACAGATCAAGCACTGTTTACAAGTGAACACAGTCCAAAACAGCTTTAAACAAAAATCTGGGTGGATTTTGATGTGAGCGACAACAGGAGATGGACTTTTTCACTGGAGGAAGTGTTATTTATTATGGATTATGGACCAGAAGCAACGGTTTGTAGTTAAAAATGTCTCGATGAATTTGTTTCTTACAAACATGCAGCTGTTGGCTTCACAAGATGTTAACTGATGGACTGGAGTGCTGTGATGTTTTTATCAGTTCTCATTCTGATGGCACCCATTCACTGCAATGTGATGCAATGCTACATTTCTCCAATTCTGATGAAGAAACAAACTCATCTACATCTCGTGTGGCCTGAGGGTGAGTACATTCTCAGCAAATTTTCGTTTTTGGGTGAAACATTCCTATAAAAGTAAATACTCAGTATTTTAGAGGTATAGGCATAATTCAACACAACTTAGTTCCCGCCGGATGGATAAAAACCTGTGCATGCATCCAATCAGATTGACGCAATTCTGGGTTCCCAAAAGCGATTTTTGCTTAAAATATGCATCAGATGGTCTGTGCAGAAGCAATGCATCATCGGTAGAAGTGGCCACGATCGTGTTACTCTGGCATCAGAGGCGTTTGCCTTGGCCTTCCAAGTGATCCGGTGTTTGTATAAATGAGAGAGTGCGAGAAAAAGGTGGTGATGGTTTGGATCTCTTTGGTAGGGGGGCTCGCAGAAACGGGGCGCTTAGGCGAACGGGAATATTTCCAAATCCAGGAAATTACACTGAGGTGAAACTCTAGTCAGACGGAGAAGAGAGAGCGACCCGCATAACAGGAAATCTGCAGATTATTTCAGACACCGAAAAGGGGAAAAACAAGTGAAAGGAGAAAGAAGACTTCTCCCTTAAAAGGCTGTTCAGAGGTGCTCCACAGACGGGTGTCTTGGGCTTTCCTGCGAAGATGATTGTGAAAGAGGGTGAAGCAAGAGCGAAAGAGACAAACAGCGATCGTTTTACCGTAAAAACTGGGCTTCGTGCGTCAGCGCTGCGGTCCAACCTGGAGCAGAACCAAACAGTGACGCTCTGCAGTCAACAGAGCACTCGACTTCTGCTCTCCAACATCTGTCCTGTGGTTTACGATGGCCAGGAAGCAGAATTCATTTAACAAAAGTGAAATAGATGGAACTTTGAGATCTTGCACAATCTGAACCCTCTTTCCTTGGTCCTTTAGTCTGTTTGCAGTGCTGTACAGATTACTTACTGTAATTGTAGTCCACTACTGGTTACAAATTACATGATGAAAATGTAGTTAGTAATGTAATCTATTAGATTACACAGTTTATTCTGATTACTTTAGGTTAGAGTACACAACTCGTTCATCACATAGATCTGAATAGGTTTATTTTGTACCAAAATTATAACAGAAATACAAATATTCTATATAATAATTAGAAATAATATATAAGACTATATAAAAATAGAAAATATGATTATATTTATTTATATTATTATAAATAATTATATATTATAATAATATATATGTATATATAATCTAATAATTATTATTATTTATATGTTAAAAAATATTGTATAAATGATAAAGAATATATACTTGATTTTTATCAAACAAACCAGGTTTCATGAGTTGACGAAAAGCTAATAATTAATATATCATACAAATTTAAAAATGAATACATATTTTTTAAATAAACAAACAATCAAAATAAAGCACAATAAACAACATCAATAAATCAATAAATTATGAATTATTTACTGCCATTGTGTGAATAATAATATAATCATTTAATAAATAAAAAACTGGTCTAATTGAGTATTTTAAAATTGTAAAATAATTATATATACGCTGGAAAACAAATTGGGGTAGAAACAGTTTTCACTCAGAAATTGCTTGTAAATTTCACAAGAAAATACTATGAAAAACTGAAATAGCTATTTTCTTGTAAAACGTACTCCAAAAATCCTATTTGAAAATTCAAGAAATCATTATTTTTACAGTGTATGATTATAAAATCTTATTACAAGTACTTTAAGTACTAATTACTTAATGTTGTGATCTGCTTATGTAATCCAGATTAGATATAATCACTTAATAGCCAGCACTGTGTATTTATTATTTAGCTGATATTCACATCTAGTCCACTAGAAAACCCAGAGGTTACGGGTCTTGCTCAAGGACACGATGGACACGTTGTGCTCGACCTCTATAATCTGTTGTTCACCACTCGCAGACCGACCCGATACAGTTTGTCCTGATCTGACTGTGTGTGCTTGTCTCGTAGGATCGCTCAGGAACAGTGCTGTACTGCGGTTCTTGAAGACAACATATGCACCAGCGGCATCAATATGGCGAAGGACCAGGGCAGTTGTGATGCACTCTTGTCCAGCAGCACATGTGAAACGAAGACGGCTAAGGTGCTGGATTTTCTCCGAACATGCATATTAATGCTGCATATGATATTTGCATGTTTTATGAATTGACTTTATTCTTTAACATTTTTTTTGTTATTATATTTATTATTATATTGTAATTTATTATAATGTAATGAATCACATTGCATTTTTTATATATTATTATTATTAGATCAAATATTATTTATATATGTAAATATTATTTAAATGTAATAATACACATAGTATATAATATATTCAATATCGACTATTTAATTAAAAAAATATATAATATTTACTATATTAATAGTGTACATTTTTAAATATTTTAATATACATGTTTTACATTTTTTTGTTATATTATATAATATATTATTATAGATTATTATTTGATTACTTTTTTTTTTTACTACATTTATGCTTCTTTTGATCCATTTTGGAGCTTGACATAATTTTTGCACTGAAAACAAACAAACAAATAAATAAAAAGGGAAAATATTTTCTTAGTACTTTCATGTTTTTTTCTTGTACAAATTTGTAAACATTCTTAAGTCAAGATACTTTTACTTGAGAAGCAAAATAGCATCATTTATTAAAGGGCTCATATGATGCGATTTCAAGTTTTCCTTTCTCTTTGGAGTGTTACAAGCTGATTGTGCATAGATAAGATCCCTGAAGTTGCAAAGACTAAAGTCTCAAAACCAAAGAGATATTCTTTATCAAAGTTAAGACTCTGCCACGCCCCCCTAAAACGGCTCGTCCTAACACGCCCCACATATCTACCTCACTATGTGGAAATATTTGCATAATGCCGCCCAAATGTTCACGCCCATGGTGGAGTTTGGAGTGTGACTGTTTGAGGTTGTGGACAGGTGTCTTTTATACTGATAACGAGTTCAAACAGATGCCATTAATACAGGTAACCAGTGGAGGACAGAGGAGCCTCTTAAAGAAGAAGTTACAGGTCTGTGAGAGCCAGAAATCTTGCTTGTTTGTAGGTGACCAAATACTTATTTTACCGAGGAATTTACCAATTAATTCTTTAAAAATCCTACAATGTGATTTTCTGGATTTGTTTTCTCATTTTGTCTCTCATAGTTGAGGTATACCTATGATGGAAATTACAGGCCTCTCTCATCTTTTTAAGTGGGAGAACTTGCACAATTGGTGGCTGACTAAATACTTTTTTGCCCCACTGTGTGTATATATATATATATATCATATTATATTATGTTTACACTGATGATGACCTGTTCCTTTAATTAGCTTGTGTTTATAATATAAACAGATCTATTTTTCCACATTTAGCTCCAGCTCTACATCTTAATCTCTAAAAGATCTGCAGAAGTGAGTAATCACTGACAGTGTGCGTCTGAGTCCAGCATCAGACTTGATCTGTGTCTGGGAAACAGGCCACGCTGCTTACGGTCAGGATCCGTCCTCTAGAGGAATATATTTTCTGTTTTCTCTCTCTTTCTCTCCTGCTTCAGTCTGTGTGGTAGGAAAGGTTTCATAGTTATTTTTCACATAGGTGTGAACTCTGTTTGGTGGACAGACTCCAACAAATCATCAAAAGACACAGCACTTCTCTGTGTCTGTATACCGCAGTAAACTTTACACTGCTCTGTCCTGAAACTCCGTAAACTACCTCACTGTCTGCTCCCTACATAGGCAGCTGCCTTCTATACCTTATAAGTAACTGATATAAAACACTCTACATAGGCAGCAACATCAAGTGGAGTGAGAAAGATTTAAAATGTCACTAAGCTAGCAACATGAATCTTTAATAAGCCTAAAAATGAATAACGCACACATTTTAGTTAAAATAAATATTTATATATCCCAATGTATATGTTTTCTTTTTTATATATCTTTATATATCTGTACTTCAAATATTTATATTTGTATACATTTATATAAATGTTTTTTATTTTTTGTTACATACACACAAAAATATGCAAAAATTATATATATATATATATATATATATAATTTTTGCATATTTTTGTGTGTATGTAACAAAAAATAAAAAACATTTATATAAATGTTTTTTATTTTTTGTTACATACACACAAAAATATGCAAAAATTATATATATATATATATATATAATTAGTATAAAATAATAAAATAGTATAAAATAATATTTATAATATGAATATTAATTATTAAAAATAATTAGTTAATCATCGGTTTTATATTTAAAAAATATGTTACATCTAAAAATAATTATAATAATTATTATTAATTAAAATATTAATATTAATAATTAAAAATAGGTTAATTGTCAGTTTAAATAAAAACATATTCGACATAAAAAATAATAGTAATAATAATAATATTAATTAAAAAAATTATATATATATATATTAAAATGTTGCCTTAATACGCTGCATATAGGAAACTCACTAGGTTTTGAATGGAGCATTTGAAATCACCTACATAATTAATGTCTCTTACTCTCTCTTGAAAATGTAGTATAGTTTAAGCCTGTTGAAACAGGTTCATGATGTGCATCAGTGTATGTGTGCAGGTGTTTTGGGTACATACTGTGAGCGTACGATCTGTTTTCCTCGGGTCTCTGATCTTGAGTCTCTCTCCCTCTGCAGACGTGCTGTGAGTGCTGTTTGCTCGGCCGGGCGGCCCAGGAGCGAGGGCTGTCATGTGACCTCACCCTCGCTGTGTGGTACCAGTGCGGTCTGGTGTCCCGCGCCTGCTGTGTGGACCGATCGCCCAACAGCGACGGAAAGCCTGCACCGGGTCAGAACAAACAAACATGGAAAACCGATTTCTTGCTGTTTTGAAATAAGAACGTTTGATGAATGCATGACTCGATATTCACAGATGTTGACAATTACAGCAGAACAGGTCATTTGCATGTAATCTTGAAGGTACAGTAGAAAAACAGTCTGTTTAATTCTTAAGGATCAGAGAGGGAGAAAATGGACATGAAAAACTAAATTATAACTTTATGGTGCAAAAAAAAAAGTAAAGTTTACATTACAAGTAAATTCAGAGAGAAATACAATACTACCTAAAATAAAATGCTTGTAACTGCTCTTAAAACAGCAAAAACAACCAACTTAAAATAATACAAAAGCTTGAAGACAGAAGGAGACAGAAAAAAGATTTGATAGAAATTGTGTTCAAATTTGATAAAAGAACTAAAACAGAAATGTATATAAGAATTATATATATATATATATATATATATGGAATAATTATATTTTGAATTAAATTATATTTTGAAAAGTTTTTAGGCTACAAAAATGATATATATATATATATATGTATACACACACACACACACACACACACATATATATGAATTTAATGAAATTAGTATGAAATAATATTTAAAGTATTATTATTAATTATTAAAAAATAATTGGTTCATTGACGGTTTAAATAAAAAATGTTGATTCTAAAAATAATAATAAGTATTATACATTTATATATATATATGTATATATAAATATAAAATATAAAATTTTACTTAATTACGTTAAGTTTTAAGGCTACACACACACACACACATATATATATATAATTAATCTAAGATAAAAATATATGAAATCATAAAAAAATAAGAATTTATTTTTAAATGGGACCATTGGGATTGATTGATTTATTGATTGATTGATTTATTTATTTATTTATGTATTTCAAACAATCATAATGTAAAATCTCAAAATGGTCCTAAACAGACTTATGCTTTTTATATGTATAATTCTAATATGTAAAAAATATTATTTTATTTTGTTTCTTGACAGTTTTCTTGGGATTTACCCTTAGTTATTGTCTCAATATTAAAGGGTTAGTTCACCCAAAAATGAAAATTAGTCCATGTTTTACTCACCCTCAAGGCATCCTAGGTGTGTATGACTCTCTTCTTTGAGACGGATCCAATTGGAGTTATATAAAAAATTGTCCTGGCTCGTCCAAGCTTTGAAATGGCATGGGTGGGTGTTTTTGTTCAACAGTCCAAAAGTAGTAAAATAAAGCGCATCCACCCATATTAAAACATGCATCACACGTCTCCGGGGGGTTAATAAAGACCTCCTCGAAGTCTCGCGAAAACCAATGTTTGTTTACAGGAGCAAAGGAAGCAAAGTTTCCTTACTTTAGCAAAGGAAAACCAGTCTCCTCTTGGCTTATATCGAAATCCTCTGACATTTTTCTTTACAAATCCTCATTTTGTGCTTCTAAGTCGTGACCGGCATTTTGTTTTGTTCTCTCTCCGTCGCGCTTCTGCGTTCGTCACTAATCACCGGCCTACATCCTACGTCATCTGCCTGGAACGACTTCCGCCTACGACAGTTAGCAGAAGTGAGAAAAAGGTGTTTATATCGTTTTAAATATGGATATTTGTCTTAAAAAACACATGGATTCGCTTCCGGAGGCCTTGACTAGTTTTGGACTGTTGAACAGAAACACACACCTTCTCCAAGACCCAGGACAATTTTTTATATAACTCCGATTGGATTCATCTGAAAGAAGAAAGTCATACACACCTAGTCATACACACAGGCTAATTTTCATTTTTGGGTGAACTAACCCTTTAATAGAGTCTTATCAGGTCGTTTTAGTCTCTGGAGTGAAGCAGTTGAGAGAAGATGAGCTCTTCTGCCCTCTAGTGCTCATGAACTGACATCTCCACAGAGGACATCACACACAAGCGCTCATTTATAACACATTCATAGATGCAAACTCCTCACCTTTCAGTGACAACTCACTTTTTGAGATCAAAATAGGTCACCTATGAGATTTGCTTAGATCCAATGTGAAAGTGTTTTTATGGGGGAGGGGGGGGGGGTCTTATAAAGAACTCTGGTTGTTTCAGTAAGTTTTGTATAGTATTTTTTTTACTCTTTACTTCAAAAGCTATGTCTAAAAAGGGTAATATGTTATGTATTTGAGGTCTGAGATGTGGGAACGGTGAAGAGAGAGAGGGCAAACGTTTAGCATTTTAGGTCAGCATTGCGGTCTAATCAGCCAATATTGTCTTTAATAGCCTGCATAGCACTTCATCTTTTAGAACATGGGATTTTGACCAAATATATTCAATCTTGATTTTTGTAGATTGTTGCAACAAGATGTTAAATTGTGTTTTTTTTGTGTGAAAAATGACAGTTTTGGACATATAAGGTAATACAAAAATATTTAAAGAAATACCTTAAACTAACTACAAATGAGCATGTAAAGCGAATATCTTTAAAAGAAAATGTTCTCACCTTTTTCCCTCTTACTTGTTTGCATCTCTGACATGAACTCATTTATGTTTCAAAATGACAGAATTACCACCATCACAGCGTGATGCACAAAACACAGAGGATCAGTGCAAAGGTAACTAGAATCTGTTTCTAATGTACTATATAATCCTATAAAAACAATCAAATGCATCTTACTAATATATCATGTGCAGATTGTTAATGTTGTGTGTGTGTTTGCATCGAAGCTGCCGGCTGCTCTCAGAGCTGTTTTAACGGCTCTTGTGCCTGTTTGGAGGGATACAAGCTGAAGGCGAACGGGAAAACCTGCGAAGGTCAGTAAACTAATAAACCGGTTTTAATACGTTCCAGTATGTAAGAAGGTCTCTTCCGGAGTCTGAGGATGGTCAAGTGAATCCTCACTGTTTTGAGGTTCTCGATGTGCAGAGCTCTCCCACTTGAAAAAGACAGCCCACTACATGAAGATTTCAACTGGATTTCACTCACTGACCACACTTTTGCTCTCCTTTTCCCTTCTTTATTTTGAAAGTTCGATGCAATGAGTCAATTTGTCAGTCAATTAGTCAGGTGAAAAACCTTTAAACACAAATACAAACACCACTTTAAGAACAAGCACAAGTAGATACAATCAAGTCAAGTCAAGTCACCTTTATTTAAATAGCGCTTTTAACAATACAGATTGTGTCAAAGCAACTGTACAGTATTAAATAGGAAAATAGTGTGTCAATAATGCAAAATTACAATAGTAAACACTCAATTTTCAGTTAAAGGCAGTTCATCATTGAATTCAGTGATGTCAACATTCAGCTCAGTTCAGTTTAAATAGTATCTGTGCAATCAAGTCGACGATATCGCTGGAAATTAAATGTCCCCAACTAAGCAAGCCAGAGGCGACAGCGGCAAGGAACCAAAACTCCATCTGTGACAGAATGGAGAAAAAACCTTGGGAGAAACCAGGCTCAGTCGGGGGGGCCAGTTCTCCTCTGACCAGACGAAACCAGCAGTTCAATTCCTGGCTGCAGCAAAGTCAGATTGTGCAGAGGACTCATCTGCTTCCTGTGGTCTTGTCCCGGTGGCCGTCTAGGAGACGAGGTCCTCACTGGGGATCTGTCTCTGGGGCTCATCTAGTTGTCCTGGTCTCCGCTGTCTTTCAGGGCTGTAGAGGTCCTCTCTAGGTGCTGATCCACCATCTGGTCTGAATACGTACTAGATCCGGGTGACCGCAGTGACCATCTGATCTGAATACAGACTGGATCTGGTGGCTACAGTGACCTCGGAATAAGAGAGAAACAGACTAATATTAGCGTAGATGCCATTCTTCTAACGATGTAGCAAGTACATCGGGTGTTATGGGAAGTGTTCCCGGTTGTCCTAATTAATGCAGCCTAAAAATCCTTTAACGGATTTGCAATCAAGCAAACACAAGATTTCAATCCTTGGTTTTAAATGATCATAGAGCACCATGTAAACAGACAGTTTGTGTGTGTCTGCAGACATGAACGAGTGTTTGCTGGGCTCTCATCAGTGCCGCGGTGGCGAGCGCTGCATCAACACGCTGGGATCGTACCGCTGTCAGAGGGTCATCAGCTGCGGGACAGGCTACGAACTCACCGACAACAACAAGTGTGAAGGTCAGACACACACACACACACACTTTCACAAACTACTAGGACTGCACGCTTTGGGAAGAAACCTAATTGTGATTTTTCTGGTAAAAATTGTGATTGTGATTTAAAATGCGGTAAAAATTCTCCAGGTTTAATGTGTTTGTTTGTAGGACTGCACAATTTGGTTAAAAAAAAAGTGTGATTATATATAATACTATACAGTAATAATTATTATTTAATCTTTATAATTATATATCATGAAAATAATTTACAATAACGCAATAATAATAATTTAATTTTCATTAAAATATGGAATTAAATGTTGGATAAAGAAACTGAAACCTTTTCTATTGCCTTTTTTAGGATAATAAATCTAATTGAGATTTTTCTGGGGGGGGGAAATGTGATTTAAAGAAAATAATCCAGGTTTAATGTGCGTTTGTAGGGCTGTAAAAAATGTTGTAATTATATATCAATATTTTATTAATAATATAATAATAATAATAGTACAATTATTACTATAAAATAATAATAATAATGACAACAACAAATAATATTAACAGTAATAACAAAATAACTATCACTATAGTAATATCTAACTACAAAAATAATATCTACTTGCAAAAAATAATAGATAGATAGATAGATAGATAGATAGATAGATAGATAGATAGATAGATAGATAGATAGATAGATAGATAGATAGATAGATTGAAAATATTTACGTTTATACATTTATATATTCATATTCTTATATTTTATATTATATATAAATATATTTAATATATAAACATACCATATTTTATTTATATATTTAATTGCATGTGTGTGTATTTATATATACATAATAAATATACACAGTACACACACATATATTATATGTCAAACTATGTATCAATGAAATAATGATATAATATTATAATTGTTTATATAAAATAATAATACTAATTTTAAATAATACATACAAATGTATTATTATTATTATTATTACTAAATAAAATTATTAAACAAAAAAACTATTACTATTCTAATATCTAATATCTATTTTTTTTTATTTATAAAAATTGTAATTGCTTAAAGAAACTACAGGTTTAATGTTTTTGTAGAGCTGCACAATTTGGCCAAAAAAAAGGTGTGATTATATATGAATATTTTATTAAATGCTAATACTGTAATAATTATTAGTATAATAATAATTTATTATTATTACTAAATTATGTTATTAAACAAAATAACTACCACTATTGTAATATTTCACAGTAAAATGTGAAATTTAAATGAATAATTCACTGCAACAGCGAATTATTTACTTAAATCACAGCCTTTGTGATTCAGTAATCACACTAAGCCATATCGTGATTTTGGTTTTATTTTGATGAATCATGCAGGCATATACCAGCCATGTGCGGGAATTCTCCTTAATAATAATAATAAATGCCACAGCTGTAATGTGCATGTACAGTATGATAACTGCAGTGTCCTGTGTGTGGTTTCAGACATTGATGAGTGTGAAACCGGCACTCATAACTGCGCAGCTGAGCTGGAGTGTCAGAACACAGCCGGCTCGTTCCGCTGCCGTCCCAGAGTGCAGTGCGGCATGGGATTCCTTCAGGATGCTCTCGGGAGCTGCATCGGTGAGACACACTCACACCAGCTGCCAAACTTCAGAAACATCAGAGCCAGGGGCGTCATGCACTCGTTGTTTTGAGGGGGCACGAGTGAAGACGGGGGGGTTGCTCGTCATGCCCTGTGACTCTATGTGACCCTGGACCACAAAACCAGTCATAAGGGTCAATTTTTGGAAATTGAGATTTATACATCAGCTGAAAGCTGAATGAATAAGCTTTCCATTGATGTATGGTATTTGGCCAAGATACAACTAAAACATTGAGAAAATCACCTTTAAAGCTGTCCAAAGTAAGGACTTAGCAATGCATATTACTAAACAAAAATGAAGTTTTGATATATTTACAGTTGGACATTTACAAAATATCTTCATGGAACATGATCTTTACTTAATATCCTAATGATTTTTGGCATAAAAGAAAAATCGATAAATTTGACCCATGCAATGTATTGTTGGCTTTTGCTACAAATATACTCGTGCTACTTATGACTGCTTTGTGCTCCAAGGTCACATTTATAAGTATAACTGATATAGGCTTATGTTTTATTTATTTTTTCCTTTTTAGTCGAAATATTCCCTAACGTGTTAACTATATCATGAAATATCTTAATTCTTAAATATGTGTACGTAGATGCATTTTGCACCTTTATAGATTATGTTAGTTGATCTATAACAGGCGATGGGCAAAGTAGCCTAATAGTGTAATCGATTAACTATGCATAAAAAACTGTCTTTTTACTTGAGTACCAGATATGGGTGTCATGCCATAAAATATTTTCGGAGTGTCTATTTACACTAACTCCGCCCACCAGCGTGTGATTGGGATTGTCAACGCTACAAAAGACGATCATCTAGCAACAGTTCCAGTGGCGTAGATGATAAAGTGCATGCTTTTTGACGCGATTGACCCGAGTTGGAACCCACTGTTTGCCGAACTTTGTTTTTTTTGCCCCTTTTCAAATCTCATAACATATCAGAAAGGCATTTATTTTCAAGAAAAATTAAGGAAATAATCAAATAAGTTGAAAACGTATCGGTTAGGGTAGGTGTGGGGAGGGCTTTATTGTCCCTTTATTGTCTTGCATCCATTTAATAATTTGAATTCAAATTATAATTTACACTCAATATGTTATTAATGCCTCTATCGCTATTTACACTTAGCGCAAATAGCTGCTGCCAAATATTTTTAATACGACTGATGTTGTAGTTAATGTGAATTTAATAAAAACATTGTAATTTACTAATTAATCATACGCACATCTGCACTTTTTTGTTTCTGATGAGAGAATTCGTCAGAGAGTAGAATTCCTTCAGCGAGCGAGTGAACAAAACATTGGGGTTTCAGCGATGACTCATCTGAACACGTCTGATTGGTCAATGCATTGATAAGCTCAACAGAATCGTGTGTGATTGGTTATAATGCTGTGAAAGCGCTGTAAAAAAACACAGATTTCAATTTAGACGCACTGAACGATCTAATCACACAGGTGTGATTGTATGACATTTTTAAAATATTCTTCGGCTATATTTTGTATTTTGTAAGCTGCATTCAAAATCCACCTGGCTCAAAAATCTGGTTTGAATGGGCATGATGCCTCTGATCAGAGCCCATAACGTTCCCCTTGTGTGTGCCAGATATAAACGAGTGTTTGAGTGTGACGGGACCGTGTCCGTCGGGTCACATGTGCTTCAACACGGTCGGCTCCTACACCTGCCAGAGACACTCGGTGAGCTGTGGACGGGGATATCACCTGAACACCGACGGCTCTCGCTGCGTGGGTACGGAAACTATCACAGTCACATGAAACATGTTCAGCATGCAGTCAGAAATGACCAGTGCTCCACACCATACACAAGCTTTCACTCAGAAATACACTTTGTTTTGATGCAAGAGCACTATATAACTAACATTAGAAGTGGTCGCCAGAGAGAAAATATAATAGCAAATAATAAATAAGCTTGAAAACCTATAAAAAAACAATCAAACCAAACCAAAATAATTAATAAGTTTCACACACACACACACACACACACACACACACACACACACACACACAAAGACACATTTATATAATTTGCTATAGAATTATATGTATATATTTATGTAATCTATCTATGCATTATATCATTATAAAAATATAATTATAAAAAACTATTAAACCAAACCACAAGAATTAATTCATACATTTCATTTGTTATAGAATTTATAATTATATAATTTAATTTAAAATACATATTTTAATGCTAAAATATAATTTTAAATTTTTTCATATAGTGGTAATGTTGAATTTAGATAAGTAAGGCAAATAATAAATTTAGTGCAAAGTGAAAAATGTAATTACTCCTGTAAAAGAAAAAATACATATATATATATATATATATATATATTTATAACAATTATCTAAAAATACATTTAAATTCTTCCTGCTAAAATAATATTTTTAATTTAATAATTTATAGATAATATCTATAATTTTACTTTTTAAAATTTTACATATAGAAGTCTTAAAATGACTAACACTATTAGTGGACTTCAGAAATAAAATTAAATATCAAATAATACAAATGCTTGAAAATCAAGACTTCAAAAAGAAAAACAATAATTGACATAATAAATCAAATAAATATTTTTCAATTTATAATATATATAAATATATTGCATAGTAATGTTTCACTCAAAAATGCATCATATTATGGAAAATATCATTTTAATATAATTATTATTAATTGTATATAAATATTCATTTACGTGGACTTTGGAAAGAAAATGCAATGATAAAACAATACAAATGCTTGAAAACCTCAAAGTCTCACAAATCTCAAAAACAAACACACAAACAAAAAAAAACTTAATTCGCCCCAAAATTAAAAGAAAATAATCTATATAATTCATATTATTAATAAAAAAGTATATTTAAATGTTTTATATTTTATGTATACTTATAGTACATAATGTAGCACTCAGAAATGCATCACATTATAGAAATAAAATGGGTTGCAAATGACATTTTTATGTTGAATTAAAGCTCATTCAAGGCCATATTAGTTTCAGAGTGTTCCACTTGTCAGTGTTAATCATGAGCAGTCTCTGATCTCTGATCTGTGTGTGTGTGTGTGTCAGATATCGACGAATGTGCGGGGCCTGATAACTCCTGTGACGGTCACGGCTGTATTAATCTGGTGGGCTCGTACCGCTGCGAATGCAGGGTCGGCTTCATCTTCAACAGCATTAGCAGATCCTGTGAGGGTGAGTGCTGTGGGTTAGTGCTGCGGAGCTGCCGACTAAAAGGTTGCACGTTCAAACCCACACCAGGGTTGATGCATTTGCATTTATTAGCCAGAAAATATTTGTTCAGTGTTCGTCTCCTGTTGATCTGTATGCTGTATTTCTTTCTCTTGAACATCAGACATCAATGAATGCAGGAATATATCAAATTTTGACGTTGCGTTTAATGCGTAATGCCTGAATGCTTTTGCATCTAAACTCTTCATATACTATGAGCATCTTCATAAGTACTAATATTTATTAAATAAAAGTACTTAGATATTGCTTTTTTGACTTATTTACATATGTCACTTGAGGTAATCCAAAAGTAATCAGATTACATTACTTCTATATTGTGGTACATGGATTATGTTACTGAATACTTTTTTAATGAAGTCATTTGTAACTGTAACGGAATACATTTTAAAAGTAACCCTCCCAACCCTGTATGTATGTATGTGTATGTATATATATAATCAAATAATATAATTATAAGTAATAATATTAAAATAGCACTGATACTATTAAAATAAAAAAAAAACAAAAAAAATCATATTTTATTTAAATGATTAAATGTTATTTAAATGTACCTGTTGATCTGAATGCCGTATTTCTTTCTCTTGAACATCAGACATCAATGAATGCCGGAATTATCCCGGCCGTCTGTGTGCGCACAAGTGTGAAAACATCCTGGGCTCCTACAAGTGCAGCTGCACCACGGGCTTCAAGCTGGCCGCCGACGGCAGGAACTGCGACGGTACAGGAAAACCAATATGAGCAACTACTAATCAACTCTTTACTCTCATTCATGCACTAACCTGTGCTTTAACCAGACCTCAATGAGTGCGAGAGCAGCCCGTGCAGTCAGGAGTGTGCGAATGTCTACGGCTCCTACCAGTGCTACTGCCGCCGCGGGTATCAGCTGAGCGACGTGGACGGCGTCACCTGTGAAGGTGAGCGCTCGCTGCCAAACACAGCTGTCTGTGCAGTGGAGGAAGTACAGCATACCAAAATGTATTCAGACTCCTTCAACATTTCTCACGTTATCACAGTTTATTTGCTATAATTTAGAAAACGGTAATAAAATATGAGAAGAACTCAAAACTGTCAGAACAAATTCATCTTGATAATGTCAGATAACTTTGATAGAAAGGTGTGTAATGGATTACAATCAACCAAACATTATTCAGCTGTTCAATTAGACACAATTAGATAATAGGTCAACCCATTACTAAGCAATGCTTAATTTTGTTCAGTCGGTGGTGTAAAAAGGTCGCATTGGCAATTAAAGAAAAACACTTAAGCAAAACATGGTCAGGTCAAAGTATCTGAATAATTTTTGGTCCCAAATTGTACTGGTAGTCCACTGTATGAAGAACGTTTTGGTATAATATGTCTGTTTACTTAATTTTGCTGTCCTCATTTACATAAATGAACTAGTGTCCTGTACAATCCATGTATCATTCGTTCATTAGTTTTTTTATTTAATATTTAAAGTAGAAAAATGGAAAAAAGAAAAAAAGAACAGCTCCTTTTCCGTTTTTTTTTCTTCCAAAAAAACATTTTTGTTAATTGAAATAGAGCTGAAATAAAATACAAAAATGTTACATAAAAAATGAAAATGAGATATGTTGCATTGGAATGAATTTAAACTGAAGCAGTAAAATGAATAACTGGAAATAAATAAGAACAAAAACTGTACTAAAACTCAAACTAAAATTGAAATGAAAA